AAACTTTGTGAAATGGACAAGGATGTATTAACTAGATTAATAAAAAACCTGGAAACTTCTCTGAAAGAAAGTCCACCTTAATGTTTTGGATTGATATTTATTTGTTCATTGCAATAATGAGACTAAATCAGTTTTTAATAAGATATATTTAAACATTGTTCAATAATAAATAATAATCTGATTCACAGGATAACATTCTCAGTTCATAGTTCTTTATCTGCCAACATTATGAATTTTGTATGAAAGTTCATTGAACAGCATACTTACCTCAATAAACAAAACTCAATATTCTGTTGGTCTCAGTATTTTTTTGTCTCAAAAGGATGATGGGCAAAAATGTNCTTAATATCCCAACCCAACTAATATTATAAATGCGAAAGTAACTCTGTCTGTCTGTCTGTCTGTTACGCTTTCCCGCTTAAACCTCGCAACCGATTTTGATGAAATTTGGCATAGAGATAGTTTGAGTCCCGGGAAAGAACATAGGATAGTTTTTATCCCGATTTGAAACAGGGACGCGCGCGATAAAGTTTTTCTGTGACAGACAAAATTCCACGCGGGCGAAGCCGCGGGCGGAAAGCTAGTATACTATAATAATAAATAATATTTGTATTTTTCACCATTTTTCTCTATCTGTTCAAGTCATGTGTATAATGTAAGTACTTATTAGGGGCCATCCATAAAGTACGTCACACGAATTTCATGATTTTTTGACCCCTCCCCCGTCCTTGTCACAGGTGGTCACATTTCTGAGACCCCCCCCCCTCCCTAGTGTGACGTCACATGTTTTGCAATTTCACATCGAAAAATTATTAAATTAACAAAAAATAGCAACAAATAGAAACAATAAAATCACGCGCGAGATACGGTTCATTTGGCGGCATTATAGGCCAGTAGAATTAGATTTTAAATCCCAACTAATATTATAAATGCGAAAGTAACTCTGTCTGTCTGTCTGTCTGTTACGCTTTCCCGCTTAAACCTCGCAACCGATTTTGATGAAATTTGGCATAGAGATAGTTTGAGTCCCGGGAAAGAACATAGGATAGTTTCTATCCCGGTTTTTGAAACAGGGACGCGCGCGATAAAGTTTTTCTGTGACAGACAAAATTCCACGCGGGCGAAGCCGCGGGCGGAAAGCTAGTNCGTTGTATGGAAGGAAGTTTCTTCACCCTGACAGGGATTTTGTTGTTTGACAGGCGAACTGTGTGTGTACAAGTACAACAAACTTATCAAGACGTGTTTTTTGTGTTATTTATTTATTCTTAGGGGCTGTTCTCCTCGGATAAAGTAGGATAGAGGACGAGATTTCTGCGTATTTTCTAAAAAAAAAATTATATCGCTATGGATTCAATCTTGAAATTGGACGATAATGATACTTTTGATTTGGTAAGACTACGCTGTTATTATTTTGCTAAACTCTTTATAATACTTAAATTTCATGATACTACTTACCTAAATTAACTGACCATTTCAGGTTCTAGAGGAGTTGTTGCGAAAAAACCATGCATCAAGACACTCAGTAAGTCCTGAGATAGCAAATGTAATAGAAGCTGCCAAAGAAGATTTACGAACATCCTTGATTAAAGCCAATTTTAATATTGATGAAGTATCTGACCGTATACTCGATGGTAATTACTGTCAAGATAGAGCTTCAAAGTTTGTTACGCTATTAAAAGAAACAAAGTCAGAGTTATTTCGTTCCATCATTACACATTACAATAGTTCCTACGGTGATGTTTGTATGGACTTTGATTGGTTTGTGAAGCTTGTACTAGGCACAAGTGAATCTAAGGTCATAAGATATCCTATAATACAATTGGTATTGTCAACTGTTAACTGTAATAGTCAGCGAAAGCAGAATCTTTGTGAAATGGACAAGGATGTGTTAACTAGATTAATAAAAAACCTGGAAACTTCTCTGAAAGAAAGTCCACCTTAATGTTTTGGATTGATATTTATATGTTCATTGCAATAATGAGACTAAATCAGTTTTTAATAAGATATATTTAAACATTGTTCAATAATAAATAATAATCTGATTAACATTCTCAGTCTCAGCTGCCAACATTATGAATTGTGTATGAAAGTTCATTGAACAGCATACCTCAATAAACAAAACTTAATATTCTGTTGGTTTCAGTATTTTTTTGTCTCAAAATTTTGAAAGTTTTCAGGTATTTTGAAAAAATGTATAATGTTAAGTCATAAGTAGGTACATATTTTTAATTTTGAGATTTAAGTTAATTAAAGTATTTAACCCTTATTCAAACGCGAGCTGGTATGCATTTTTTTTACAAAGTTGAAGTGGATTTTGGGTAATTGTGGGTCGCTTATTTCATATTTTTGATCAAAATTTATAAAAAAATAGGGGAAGGGGTAGTTTTTTGGGTGGTAAATAATTTACCATTATCCATTGATGACTACAAATTGTTAGATGTTGGTGGTAAAATAGTTACCATTGTCCGTTTTGGTTTATTTTTGGTTCTTGACTAGTGAATTCCTCTTGGTTCTGCCTATATTTTATTAAATATTTTGGGAATGAAATAAATTTATTGTTTTTATAAAAAAAAATTGATTAATATTAGTTAATATGCTTACAATTAGGATGCTTACCTTAAGTCTGAAACAAACAATTCACTAATTACGTAACGTCAAAACGTTACGTGAATAGTTATCAAAATAACTTAAAATTTCTCCAAATATTTATTTAGTTTTATTTGTGCACATACAAAAAACAACAGTTTTTTTTATATATCATCAGACTTTTGTCAAGACGATCGCGACCACAGATAGTGTTCCTCCACAGACTGCGGTCATAAGCTGTGTGGACCGCACGATGCAAACTCCCGCCCACCGTCTTCCTCACCGCGTCCGATCATCTCGTCGGTGCCCTGCCCCGAGCGCGTCCCCCTTCATACTGTATGATACTTAGGTTACACAAAAAGTATCTTTATCTTCGAACGCAACCAGATCTGAGGCTGGTGGCCATAGTAAATGTTGTTCGTCTTGGTAAGACCTTTCAAATGACACTACAAACATAACTATTGGAGCCGGGTACCATTCTGCAAAAAAGTATGTATATCTTCGTACACAACCAGATCTGAGGCTGGTGGTCATAGTAAAAGTTGTTCATCTTGGTAAGACCTTTCAAACGATACTAGACACATATCTATTGGAGCCGGGTACCATTTTGCCCATTGGCCTTTGAAGTTTTCAAGAATTTTGAAAAAATGTATAATGTTAAGTTACATAAGTGTACATAATATTAAATTTTTAGATTTAAGTTAATTAAAGTATTTATTAACAAAACTAATGTAAGTTTTTTTATAGTTGTCTAATTAGTCCAAGCAATAAAATTTCTTAGAAATTCCATAAAGAACAACTAAAACCAACTCAAATCCCTTAATCATTGGCATATCTAGGGTATTCTAGGGTGTTTTTTTAAGGGGGAGCCTGGCCCGAGCCCGAGATTGGTATGTTGTACCAGCTTATGAATGAGTACTATCATCTTCGGTACCCACTACCCATTCGGGGATCCTAGTGGACGACATGCAAAATGGGGGCACAAAAAAAAACGACCGAGCGAAGGGATTTAAATACTGTAATGGCGCAGTTACATTATTCGCGAAATTCAACGAATCAGTGGTAAACACGCAGTTCATTTCGGTTTCACCTTGCGTTGCCCATGGGTACTTCCGAAATCCGATCGCGTGTTCGCGGTTGATCGAAAGTTAGTGCGAATCACAAGATATCTATAAAGTGAGGCAGAGCATTCATTTTTCAGTTTTACTGCACAGTAGTTGGTAAGCTTTTGAGTACAAAAACAAATAAAATTCATACAAGTACTTTATTACGAAATTTACTCTGTTATTATATTTTTTAGGTATTCATAAATGATAAAATACTTAATCCTTAAGACCATGTCACGTGGTAAGAAATAAAAAAACATTAATATATAAGACTACATCCATAAAACTAAGTAAATGTGCAAGTCAAAATGTGAACAGAACAAAATTAACTACAATTGAACACTTCAAAATGCAGGCAAGACAATATCATTCATTAAGTATATTATTTATTTTACATGCGTGAAGTATTGATGTAGGAGGACGGCGCACGGTGGGCTGATATTAGAGCTTCATAGACTTAGCGTCGCTCAAAAATCAAGTGCCGAATTTTGAAAAAATAAATATGCCAATGTGTTCCTTTACCAAAAAGGAATATTTTATGTTATGTAACGTTTCTTGATAAAGTTATTATTTAATAAGTTATTGACAATTTACTTTTTTTTTGTATGGAGCTCAACATTTATTTTTATTTTATTCGTTATTCTTAAGTTTTCTTTGGGGGAGCGCTCCAGGCAATTTTTAGAACATTTCATAGGTGGTAGTACCTAAATAATATTTATTTAATTTCCTTCTTATTTTTAATATTTTTTTTACAATGTAAATTATAAAAAAACTAAATATACATTATAAAAAAAATTCTTAAAAATAGTTAATCCGCTGGTAGCGGAGCAGGGCCCAAGCTACCGGTGGTCAGGGTCACAGGCTGAGGAACCTCCGGACAATGCGTGCCGTGCTGAGGATCACCGCCTTTTGAATTTATTTTATTATTAAAATTGAATATTTTGATATTGATAAAATTGAATATATCTTTCGATTCAAATACCGAATATTTTTCAATCGATAATAATTATCGAGAATTGTTAATAATATTCAATTAAAAGTTGTTCAATCCCTAGTCATGCATAGACTAAGACGGTAACCATGGAGATAGTTAGTTTGGTAAGTCACGTGTTAAATGTCAAGAGTGGAAAGTAAACATAGGATTCATGTTATTTATTTACGTGCAAAATGTAAGTAAGTAAATCATAAAAGTGGAACGCCGAGCTATTTCCAAAACCCGTCCAATATTATAATACAATTTTTCTGCGACAACTACAATACAGAACATCTCCCAAATCGATGTGCATAAAATAATATAATACAATACTAGTAAGTAAGAGGTTATGATAACAATATTGCTATCAATAAGTTTATAGAATTGGTCCGCCAGGAATAATTGTTCTTACATAAAGATTTGTGTCATTTAGAACCTAGAAAGTATTATTTCGGCACTGTTGATCTAACGGCGAACAATGTATGGAGAACGAACATTGTCCTTTAATTTTTTTCACCAATGGACCAATCACGCTTACACCCAATGGACGTATGTACATTGTACATATCGATACCTCTGGGCTCAAAGGTCGTAAAGGACAAAATACCGAAAATGAGTTATTTATACAGTTTTACTCAGAATTTAATTCTCTATCGATCTGTATATTTAGTTTGTCGAAATTCTCAAAAAAAGTGCCTTTACGACCCATCATATTTGATAGGCTAAACAGAATTCATCCCGAAAATTGGGATGTAAATACCATTTGATTTTTTAGTACAGTTACCATGGTAGTAAAGAACAAGTAAACACAAATTTTTGGGCGTATAATGTACATGTAGTATATCTATTGTCCTATACAACCTTACATTTTCATACCCAAGTCTAAATAATTTGTCCTTTACGCCCTTAGATTATCTAAACAAATATTTTAAAAATCTACACAGTGAGGATATTAAAATAACTGTAAAGGTAAATTTTATAGACGTTTCTTATAGTATTTAAGTATGTGCATTTGGAACAAATTAAAGAACCTAAAAAATCATCCAAAAAAATATATAATAAAACTATTTAAGAATGTAACATTTATGTGATTTGTACATATAAAATGATGACATCTACCCACATCGGGTAAAGTAATGTTGCTTTTTATTATTTCTCATATTTGAAGAAACTAGGTATTTGTCAGGTTGCATTACATAATACAAAAGTCAATTTCTTAAGAAAGCTTAAGAATAACGAATAAAATAAAAATAAATGTTGAGCTCCATACAAAAAAAAAGGAAATTGTCAATAACTTATTAAATAATGACTTTATCAAGAAACGTTACATAAAATAAAATATTCCTTTTTGGTAAAGGAACACATTGGCATATTTATTTTTTCAAAATTCGGCACTTGATTTTTGAGCGACGCTAAGTCTATGAAGCTCTAATATCAGCCCACCGTGCGGCGGCACTATTCATTGTATAAAATAAAATTATTGCAGGCAGGTTGGCTTATTAAGATATGGTAAAGAAGTTCAATTAATAACTACACTTATATAGGCTTCAACATCGTATTAGCTACTTACAATTTAAAAAAAACAATTATCGGTCACTGAACAATCAACAACTATTTACTATAATAATTAACGAATTTTCAGTACCTATTAGCACGCCGCGCCAGAAGAAAATCCTGACGGGTTAACCTTCAGTACCTACTAGACTATGTATAATGCCTTGTAGTTTAGCGCTGATCTGTTTAAAGCTATATTCCTATTAGCACTGTACGAGATGACGTCTGAATATGTAGCCAGTGTCCATGGTAGCCAGTGCGGCAAAGTCAATAATATACCTTTATGCTTATCTTATTCTGGTCAAGTACAGTAAGCATAGCCTGGTTAAGATACATAAATGCTACATTCATTTTCTTTGCTGTTTCCTACGAGTTCAGTTTTCAATTTTAATGCGACTTGACTGTGGTGTTTAGTTAACTTGTCTTAAAAATCCATAATTAAACTACTAAGTACACATTATCATATTGTTATCTTAGTTCAATAGGCACAAAGAGTGATTTATAAGTACACAATTAAACAACTATATTCGAATTTTACTAATATTACTCACACTACAATTATTATGTACATACTCGTAATGTATTTACATTGAATGAGAAATGAAGAATAACCTTTTGAACAATGACAACAATAATAGGTTCTCTAACTATTCTGATATTCATTTGTTCAATTAAGTAATAACAAAAACGTAGTATACCGATGGGCCTACTGAACCATTGATAAAACATGGAAAATAAACGTGTTATTTCAATAAGTATTATTTCTATGACATTGAATAATAGCACCCAAGTGTGATTACAGTTTTAAATACAGTCAGCAAAAGAGCAGAATGACTTACCCAATGGATTTGAACTTATTTA